TGTTTGAAATTCCTTAATGTCCAAAACTGCTTTTGTTTTTTCTTCTATTTAACACAAGGATGTGTGTGTGAATGAATCTGTACAATTCTGTTGTAGAAGTCAAGCTCAGCTGTATTCATATTTTCCCCTTCTTCAGAGCTCCCAGAAGAAAGGGTTAGACTATAACTAATTGACACTTAACTTTTACCTTAGAGAATGGAAAAGCCATCTCTGATAGAACCAGGGGATGCAGGTTCCTTATCTGAAAAATGATTCATGTTTGCACTTCTGAGTTTTTAAAAATTTCCACAAAAATGCAAAACAGTACTTCTAGTACTCATTTTCTAAGTATGTATAAGTGATAAAGTTGTGTAAGTCCTAACAGGCATAGATAAGAGTACATTCCTGTTCTAGACAGTTTACAATCTAAGCAAAAAGTCTACAATAAGAGAGGATCAAAATCCATTCCTCTCAGGAGCACAACATCAAACTTACAGAACAGGCTAAAGATAAAGCATGATAGATTTCCACATCCAAGACTTTGAGTTGATACTGGAGCACAGTGATCTTTGAGAAATACCCTCATTGCTTTCCCAGGTTGTCCTATGAATTAGAGGTATAAAGTCATAAACAATTCACAGATATTTTAAAACAGCATTTGTTAATCATAGTAGAGTCTGGAAGCATAACCATATCTGTTATCATTAAAGTCTTAGCTATCACTTGATGTATCAGCCTACCTACAAATTTCAAAAAGAAAACCAAACAAAATAGAACGATTCTCCCCCAAATTGTGACACTTCTTTAACCCACTGTAATGAGTATCTAAAATAAGGTGTACCTCTTACACGAAATCTACTTCCATTGTCAAAGCCTCCTTACACAAATGAGGTTAAAATGTCTCAGCTGAGGCATCTTCTCCATCACTGTTCCCAGCTCTTTTGGCCGCATTTCCTTATTTCTACAGATAGCTGCAAAAGATTCCTTCCTGGAAACAGACCTCTGCTTCATCCACATTTATTCCGTTTACTACATGTCATCTTGCCTCTCTCCTCCACTACCAACATCCGTATCTGATTCTCTAAAAAAGGCAAGTTAGAGACAACTAGTAATTTGGTAAAAGACAGAAAAGTTACTCAAGAATTAAATCCCACAGTGCATATTCTGCAATGACCATGCCACATCTTGCCACTTACATGTTCTACTAATAACTTCCACTAAGAAAGCCCTTCTCTCCCAGACCCCTCCCCACAGATTAATAGGGAATAACACACCACATAAAATACCTTCTATTAGTGTCCTATTGACCCCTGAGAATATAAGGAACCATTTGTTCTACCAGTGCATGTGGATGTGTTTCCATCACTGACACCAGGGTTTGTCATTCATGCAGCAGAGAGGGCATACCATGTTTGTTTGGGAAGGGGGAAATGGAAAGAAGCTCTTTGGGTAGTCGGGGTGTGGTTATGAGGTTCGTAAGAGACAAGGTAACTAAAACATGCGGTCTGGCCAGGGAGCCTGTCATTTCCTTTGCTTTAATAATAATTTAAGTGTGGCTATTTTCCCTGTACCCTTCTGAATAAAGATTTTGTTTGGGGGATTAATTAATCTAAAGGAAGTTGCTTCATATCTACAACTGATTTATGCCATGCACATATTTTCTTTCTGCCTTGTTAGCTGTCTTTAAGGAACTGAAAGCATCAACTCCGTGTGCTTGGGATCCATTCAATCTTCCAGATCTTGTGTTCATTCCCTACCAAGGAAGTACAGAGGAAAAGCACAGACACTCAGCTTGTTGCTGTATAACCTCAGACTCCGTTCCACATCTCTGCAGTATTAGCCTAGTCTCTTTACTGTTTTTAAATTTCCCCGTGATATGCTCCTTGAATCGACTAAGGCTTTTTTTTTTTTTAAAAGAGCATGAATCATGCTGATGTCTTCTCTCTTTGTGCACATGCTGGAAACAATTACAGTCCCAGCTCTGCAGTTTAATCAGTCTGCTATGCTCAGTGGAAACCCCACTGAAATCAGCAGGCCTCTGAAGACGCCGACGTACTGGAGGACTGCAGCCTGCAGTCAAATACTCTTCAATTCTACGGCTCTGTGCTTATCCTCTACTTCTTCCCTGTGAGCTTAGAACCAGTCCCCAGATGCAATATAAAACTGAGTCATATTACAGCACTTCAAACATAATAGTGTCTAAAAATACCAATGCAAACTCAGGTTGCTTGTGGTTATTAAAGACACTACAGTCGGGTTTCCTCAGAAAACAAGGACAGCATGTTCATATCTGTCTGCTCCACCCAATGACTTTTAAATCCTAGTGGCCAATTTCAAGCAAAACTGGCAGAGAGGTAGATGTCTCAGAGATACTAAGTTCCTACAAGTTTGTCCAATATAGAAATGAGTAAAAGAAAGAAACTGTATTCATGGTCTTACACAAGGAGAGACTACCTGCTCTCTTTATTGATCATCAGAAAATCTACCCAGAGAAGAAAAAAAAAATGCAAAATTTATTTAATTAGTTTTCTGTGCACAGAATAGCTTATTTAAAGAGTAACAATAATAAATAAATAGGTGAATGTTTATTAGGTGACTAATAAATAGGCGTACTTAATTGGTATAGAACAGCCTTGCTCTGTGGAAGCTACAACCACTGAAAACAGAACTGAAAGCAAAAATGCTCAGTGCGTCTATAGCCACCAGCCCTTTGGGATGACCAGGTGGGTTAGCACTTACCTGTAAACAGCAGACTTAGTTTAGTATGTTACAGCCCCCCAGCAACTTCAGCTACTCATCCTTGCCCTCTACTTCCCCAACAGAGTTTACTGATCTCTCAGTTGTGCCAAAGAAACCTATGAAATAATGCAGATTTTCTAAATATGCCTAAAAAGATGAACAGAGGTAGGCAACGTGAACAGCTGAGGCGGCACGGTTGAGGAGACAGTCACACCAGGCAAAGGGAAGGGTGTATGTAACAGGCAACCTGAAACCTCTGCCACCACTTGAACAGCAAAGTCTAACAATTGCCTCTGAGAGGACCAGAAAAGACTGCATGGCCATTTCCACGTATCTCACGGCATGCTGGGGGGCAGGAGGGGAGATGTGCAGGTGTTAATGTGCTGTGTGCGTGTTTGGTATCACATAATAAAGAATTGCTTTTTACTTATAGCATGACAAGATTAAGTAACATTCTGCTATGGATAGCCTGTATCAAACAGCTTCCATCAAGCCTTCCCGCTCCGATTGCGTGGATGGGCACAGTGAACAACAAAACCAGGATGTTTTGTGATTCATTCCCTTCAGGTGCAGTTCACAGTCTAAACAGGCCTGGCATAGTCTGAACCTTTCTCTCATCCTGCCATTTATTCCCCCTCCTTCCAGTGTGCCATCACTTTTTTTGGAGGGAGTGAGATCAGATCAGCTCCCCAGACTTGCTGAGTGTGTGACCACATAAATCTGACTGCATGACCAGGAGCAGTGCTGGGGACACCTGGCAGCCAGGACTCACCTCCTCCTGAACCGCTGTGCGGCCCAGCCCTGCAGAGATTCACTAAGTGGATGAGGCGCCAGCATTTCCCAGGGAAGCCTGCCGGATGGTAGGAAGAGCTTCTCCTCCAAACTTGCAAAGTGACATAGGCTGAAAGAGGATGACAAACCCTACTGAAGAAGAGGGGTTTGGTTCTTAGTAATTCTATGGCAAGGCATCTGTGTTCTTTGCTCAAAGATGCAACCTTCCTTATGAAGACACTCTCTTTTTTTTTTTTTTGTGTAAGCTTAAAAGTCTTTTTCATAACCTGGAGCATGTGACTACATAGTTAACCTTCCACACAAGGAAGATTGCTGAGGGAGCGATGGCTGACCAGCTCCTCAGTTACACGGCAGTAACAGCATGCAGGTGTCAGCTCCCTCATCGCTATGGGTTTAACTGATGCATCAGCTGAAACAACAGCGATGACACTTCAGTGTTTGCATTAAACATTCAATTAGAGGTGGCTTAAAACCTGAATTCCTCCTCACTGTAACTTCCAGCTTTCAAATGCTTGATTTGCCTTCTGAACACTTCACAACAACTTTCCAAAATTCATACTGGGATCTGTCAAAACACCTAGCTTGTTTAGTTAAAGCTTGAAATACTTAACTGCAGCTCAGACTTCTGCTTATTCACAATATAGTCTATAACACCATCTGCAGAAAGTCTGTTAAAACGTAACTTCTGCTGAGACTGAAATTGTTTTGTAGCACTACAAGAGATGCGTTAGTTTTCCCTTCATAAAAATGTAACCCAAATCAAGACTTTCCCATACAGAAACTAAACCGCTCAAAATTTCCGACCCAGCAACGCTCCCTCGTTATTCCGCACGGTTTCTTCACGGGCAGGACCATAAGACGACAGCTGAAGGAGGACTCCCCGCCAG